GGACACTGACAGCTCTTATTTCCATTACTGCCAGTTGAGACAGATAGCAATGCTCTCAAGAACTGGACCTGGATGTGCAGCTCAGTGGTAGGGTCTTTGCCTAGAATGCTTGAGGGCCTGGGTTCCATCTCCAGCACTGCAGAACAAAAACAAAAACCTCACTAAGTCAAGGGAAACCTGAGGCCTGGTGCTCACTCTCCACTGGCATGCCTATGTCCCCTGACAGCCCTCCCTGGGCATGTTGGGCCTCTGGTCCTCCCAAGGATGCCTGCCATGCACTGTCCCAGGCTGCATTCTGCTGGTTAGCCATATTTCTACTTTCCTCTAAGAGTCTGGTGCTGACTCATTAAGTGAGACCTGACCCACTGCACCCAGGAAGTGGTGCTGGCTTTGACCAGGGACTGATGTCATCATAGAGTGCAAAGTACACAGCAGGAGCTGGGCATAGTGGTGCACACCTATAATGTGAGCACTTGGGAGAATGAAGCAAGAAAACTACTATAAATTTGAGGCCAGCCTAGGCTACATCAGTGAGTTCAAGGCCAGGCTAAACTACATAGTGAAACTCTGTCTCAACAAAACCAAGAGCGAGAAACCCAAATTAAAAAACAAAACAAAGCAAAACTGCACAGCGGGGAGGGCAAAAATTCAGTTCTTAGGTGAGCAATATTTTGATGCCATCTTTTAAAAATTAAATAGAAAATCTATGACAATAAAGTATTTCAATTTTAAATGAAACATTGATCTGTACCATAGTTAAGTCTGAGGCAAGAGGAACAATGTGCTTCCCTATGCACGTGTTTTCACACATGCGCAAGTGAGCAATAATTTAAAAATAAAACATTATTGAAGTGTTTGCCTTCATCCAAGCCAGAAATGTACAGGGATAATCATTTTTATTGGGGGCATAAAGTGAAATGTTTACAACTAAAATAGTGCTGTGGGTTTTAATAAACCTATTTTCTAATTTTTCAGTTTTAAAAATGGCTGTAATGTTCTAGGGAATAAAAATACCAAAGAAAAACATAAATACTCATGACTGGAGTGCAGCTTTCCCCTCTTGCTTCCATTGGACAGCTACCAGCCTTGCTCACCCTCATAGTGAGATCTGTCTGGGCAGAGGTGCCAGCCAGTGATGCTCCCCTGAGCCACTCTGCCCCCACCGCTAGTGTGGTCCCTGGGGACCTATCTGTCCCAATCACATCTGGCAGAATGTCTGACCTAGGCTGTCCCAGGCCAAGCTGATCTCGCTAGGGGACTGGACTGGAGTCCAGGGAAGCCGCTGTGTGCCAAGGACATGGTTTCCTGGAGGTGTGAGGAGGGCTGCGGTGGTCACTAAAACAGTCTGAGGGACACAGAAAATGTGCACCTCAAATAAAGATAAGTGGCTGTGTGATCCAGGGAGTGGTACTTGCAAACCACTCTCTAGGTCCTGGTAGGCTCCAAGTGAGGTAGCTACACAGCTGGTATAAATAGATTTCTATTACCCAGAATAAAAAAATTTCCTGGAGGTGTGAGGAGGGCTGCGGTGGTCACTAAAACAGTCTGAGGGACACAGAAAATGTGCACCTCAAATAAAGATAAGTGGCTGTGTGATCCAGGGAGTGGTACTTGCAAACCACTCTCTAGGTCCTGGTAGGCTCCAAGTGAGGTAGCTACACAGCTGGTATAAATAGATTTCTATTACCCAGAATAAAAAAAAAAATTGTCAAGGCAAATTTAATGAGTCATGTGGGATGGTGGAGGCCAATCAGTGTGGCTACAAGAGGCAGTTAGGGGCGAGGACCACAGATTCATGTACATGAGGCATGAAGGGTCAGAGGTGGAAGCAGGTGCAGGATGACAAAGGGCAACACTGCTGTGACCACATCAAGTGACTATACACAGCCTCAGCGACTGTCTGTCTTAGTCCACCTCTGTTGCTGTAATAGAAACCTTGCAGACTGGGAGTGTAACTCAGTGGTAGAGTGCTTGTCTAGCATGCATAAGACCCTGGGTTTGAGCCTCAGCACAGTGGGGTTAATTTTTTAAAAGGCCAACTAAAATACCTGAGGCTGAATAATTTATAAAGAACAAAGGTTTGTCTGCTCATGGATCTGTGTGGTATCTGGCAAGGTTTGTCTGGCTAAATCGTGACACGGCGAAGAGTGTACCATTGTGTTAGTTACTTTTCTCTCATTGCTGAGACAAAATACCAGACACCCACAATTAAATGGAAAGGGGCTTATTTGGCTTACAGTTTGTAGAAATTTCATCCCATAATCAGCTGACTCCAAGACAAGGACAACAAACAGGCCTGGCGGAGCAGAAACAACATGGCATACACAAGGCAGCAAAGGTAACAGAGAGTTAACAGCATCTCCCTGCCCCTTTTATCTTATCCAGACTACTTAGGGTGGGTAGAATTTACCCCCTTAATCCCAATGCCCTTGAGCATAGCATTGCATCATGAATCAGTTCCCGCTTCAAACCTTCTTGATCAAGTTTATGACCCCATGAGGAGTTGGAGGAACATCTAGACCCAAACCATAACACCCATGGTAAGAGAAGAGTGAGCAAGTCAGCTCAGGCTCCCTTCCGCCCCTTAGGAAACTGCTGATACTATCATGGCCCACTTTAAGTACCTCCCACGAGAGCTTTATCTCTAGCCCTTGCCATTAAGCCCCTCCTTGTCCAAAGTTTCAGTGGTCAGGACTGACAAGACTTGAGAACAAGTGTCCTTCCACCAACACTCATTACTGGCCTTACTGAGTGCCACCAGAAATGAGGCTTGGGGTCTCTCGGGTTCTTCACACACCCCAACCATGCTGCTGAATTGCTTTTCATCTGTTGGAGGAGGCAGTAGTTAAGGTGGCAAATGGACAGTAATCACACACATAAAGAATGCTTGAGAGGGAAACAGAGGATTTGCCAACAGAGTGGCCAAGGCTGGCCCCACTGAGAGGAGAGGCACCAGATGCAGAAGGTTTCTGGAAGAGGACTTTCCCTGGGGTACAGCACCTTTTGGGGTTCTGAGGGAGGAACTTGGTGTGAACAGTGGAACTTGATGCTACAGAACCACAAGCAGCGGAGCACAAAGTGGGAAAGGGGATTGACGGGTAGGGACCTGCCAGCCACATTCTCTATGCAGGCAGAGCTCCTAGAAGATCCCAAGCAAGATAATGGCATCTTCTGACTTCATGTTAGAGAGCTCTCAGCTATGTGGAGAAGAGGCTGGTGGTTGGAGGATAGAAATGGGCCACCAGTTGGACAGCTTCAGGACTAGCAAGGAGCAGGCTGGTCCAGACTGAGCTCTGCTTTGCAGTGAGCCTCCTGAGTCCTTCCTGAGGCTGTAGATGTGTCACTAGAGAGAATCCGAGGATGTTCCCAGTGAGATAAG